CCCGATAGTCCACTCTTGACTGTAAATTTGTGTTCTATGGTACATCACTACTTAGTCTGCTACATGATGGACTTGTATTTTTATATTTCAGGAGAGACATTGCGAGTGGGTGGCAAGATATCCCTTTCAAATACACGCACCGCTGAGTTCACAAGTCTGAGATATGCATCTGAGAGAAGTTGGCAAACATGGATGCCCCTGACCAAGCCTCCACCTCATTCACCCAGAAACGGAACTCACCATCTTGCCGTATCAGGCAGATGTCAAGCCGTGCAAAAATCCGCAGCTGCGATGCCCGGGTCCTTGAGCCAGGCACAATATCCTCTTCATGGTCTTCTTCCCACTTGATCAACTTCTTCAACACTGCACCAGCAAAATCCTTCAGCTCATTCATGCCTTCTTCTGCCTCCTCCATCGGCACTGTGACATCAAAGATGTCGTAATACTGATCATCTCTGATCATCTCCTTCGTCCGGTCCAGGAGTCTGTTTCCCGGCCTGCAGTGATCAAATCAGTCTGATGTGTTGCCTGCCTGGCCATGGACAAGGTCACCCACACAATCTTTGAAAGCGGAGCCAAACCATCGATCTTCCAGTAGTCCACTTCTTCAGGACTCACATAATCTGTGAACATGCAGTACATCCACTTCTCTCCCACAAACAAGCAGCGGATCTCCCCTTTGTCCTTGACTTCCGCAATCTTTGGCTGCAGAAACCAGAGTGGTCTAGCCACATCACTGACCATCCTTGCCCAGCTATCATCGGACTCCTCCATGGCGTCGCGGATGCGTACCAGGAACTCATTCAAAGTCTCGTCTGGGTCCATTTTCAGCACATGCTGGCTAAACCCAGAGTATGTCCGCTTGATCATGCAACCAGTGAGATCAATCTTGAAGTCAGAAATCAAGGACACCAGCTGCTCAAAGGTGTCAAATACCATACAAGCAGGGGGGTCGACACCATTAGGCGCTTCAGGGACAATGGTGCAGAACATGTCGGCCAGTTGCAGCTTGTCACAGCGATGCAGAACCTGAAAGGGATCTGGATAGACAAAAGCCTGCGCTGTGAGGGCGCGCATGCCATTCAGGTATCGTACCAGCCTGTTCCTGTCATGTAAGAGCCTAATAGGATGTCTGGCAAAGGCACATCAGCCATCTTCTGCAGGAAGACAGGTCAGGGGGACATACGATGCATCATTCGCAAAGTTGGTAGCACCCAGGACAATATCCGCCGTGCAGAGCATCCTGAAAAGTTTGGAGCTAGGCCCAGCCATGATTGCCGTGAGGGCTGCTTTAAACCTGATGAATTTCACACTGAAGGCATGCTCCCGCTCTGCCATCGTGATCGCCAAGAGGAGCTACCAGATGTTGAAGTCATTTGTCTTGAAATAATAATAAATAACATGGGAGAAATACGCACAAACTCGTATACAAGATATTCATTATTGTTATTCTTCTTCTTCTTCTTCTGCTTGTTGCGCTTTATGAGGTTTGGGCATGCACTCATAATCCGGTGAGCCAGACTTGTGTCCTTGATAGTGTACAAGCACCAGGTGGCATCAAGCCTAGTGGGGCTACTGGGCAGCTGTGGGTCAGGGATCTGAATAAATACAACCCGCCGGATGCCATCATTGCCCTTTTTCGGGGTGACCATGGACAGCGGAGAATCCTGATAGATCATATAATATAAAGTATCAGAAACTGTTGACACTGTGTTTCACCACATACCTCCTTGGACACCCTGATAACAGACAGTCGCTCCATCGAGGATACCAGCTCTCCAGCTGCCTTTTGTTCAAGTCGCATCCTGGTTTGGGCAGGCTGCCGCAGTGAAAAGGCTGATGCATGGGATGGCAAGCTAGGCATGACAGAGGGATATCTAGCAGGGTTAGGCACAGATGGTGAGGGCATCAGGTCATCATTCAGATCGACAATTGATGGAGATCTAGCCATGCTCGCATGAGAAAGAGTGGCAGGCTGGGTGGATGATGGACCTGCGTTGGCGGGTGGGTGGGCAGATGGACCACCAACATGGCTTTGGGCAGGAACAGGGGGGGTTTGCTGGGTGGATGGGCCAGGAGTGGGGGCAGCATGGGCAGCTGCACCAGCACCAGTGTGTCCAGTGTCATATGGTGGATCCAACACAGGTAAAGTCAAGAGTTCCTGCCAAATCGTAGAGCCAACCACCTCCTTGATCCCTTGGCTCCTTTCTTCATGCGTTCCAAGGGACCTAACATGGGCTAACAGGATAGGACCATGTACTCGCCAGTCCTCTGGAGAGGGGTCTCTGCCTTGTTTCACATTCTTGTCCTGGGGCACTGTTGGGTGAGAGCAATTGAGTGCAGGGCCACAGACGCGCCAATGCTGGGGGCAGCTGGGGGTGCAGTTTGGATGGAAATTTGTGGATTTGACATGGTTAGTCAAGGAATTATCGGCGCTGAAGAAGAGGATCATATGCTTTGTACTACGCCTACTCTTTTTCGCCATCGCTGACCAGTCATGGGGACAAGTATGGCCGCAGATCTGTATACGATTGTAAGAGGATGGTGCCATGGCAGATAGAACACGATATAGACCCCAGATGGAGGAGAGATACAGAGAGAGATGAAAGGCCAGATAAGAGCATTTGTGGCGTGAATATTGCTATTTTTAGCCTCGGTGATAGGTCGGACATGTCGGCTGGTGACGTGTGCTCGATAGGTCGGTAATCTCGGGCATGTGATTGTTGATCCAGCGTGTTGTGCGGTTGCCCTTAGCCCTGTGTGCCCTGCAATCTTTTTCCCCTCCCTTCTGCTAATACACTATACTGGTCATCCCAACATGGACTTTGACTCAGAGATGACCTTGAACTTGGCGAACCGAGATGCTTCTTATCCGTCAGACTCGGTGAGAGCCCTTGTTTACTCGCATTATTATTTGGCTAGGAACCGAAACCACATCAGTGCCGAGTTCCCAAGCCAAACTCCCAGCACCTGACTGAGGATATCCCCAAATCCAGAACCAAGTCCATTAGTCCTCAGAAACGGCGGGATGATTACCTGAAGCTTCTGGAAAGAAGATTGGCTGGTTTTCTTGCTGAGGCACCCATCTTTCAAGCCACAGAGAGCCTAAAGGAGATGGCGCAGATGAAGAAGAAGGAGGATGCAGAGAAGATGATTGTGGATCATTTAGGCCCTACCCAGCAGCCTCAGCTCATGTCAGGTCGTTGGGTGGATTCCGAAGGTGCAACTGTCATGATCTACCTCAGTTCCCGTCCCAAAAAGACCCCAGAGGGGCCACAGGTAGGTCTTCCATTCCCTGCTCTTGGTCAAAAACAATGTTAAACTGCATGTGGTGCCTCAGCTAAAGCCTCTGGATGAGCAATACATGGGAAGAATGGAGAAGACAGGGAATGAGGATGAGTACTACCATGATGGGCTGCACCCACTGACTGTGCGGAGATGTTGGGAAGCAGCTCAGGACCTTTTCTCCCTGGCCCAACCTGTTATGCCCAAAGGAGAAAGAGACAGGCATGGTCAACCGCGGTCTGATGGGGGGAAAGAGCAGGTAATGGCATATACACTTGACAATGGTGAAAGACGGGAAGAACGGTGTGGTGTTATGCACTGTGTGCAGGGGTGGGTGCAAACTGGCCATAACAATGGGGTAACTACCTTTACCACTTTCCCCTGCATTGTTGATTTAACTTGTTCCATGGATACATCAGAATCTCTTTTTGTCTAGAGATATGATCAAGACATCCACAGCAGCCTCTGCTGTTCGCGCCCATTATGAGGCCACCCAGTTCCTTGCTGAGCAGCTCAAGGTTATGTTCAGAGTGCTCTTCCCAACCATCTACCAAAGATATCAGGCTGCATTTGATGCCGGGGTTTGGTACAAGGAAGATCCTGGGCCATTCCTTGGAAGAGCACATCTGTGGAAACTGCAGGTCACCCTTCACCGTGACCAGGGAGATGGAGGACCCTCTATCTCTTTCCCATTTGGATCTTATCATGGTGGGGAGCTACTGGTGCCCCAGCTCAAGGCCAAGCTTCAGTGACAGCCCACCTTCTTTGTTTCTGTGGACATGTTTCATGGCTAATATATATATTTTGTGGCAGATACCGCCCCACCGATGTCTGCATCATTCTTGGATCCCATCTATGGCACCAAGTCAGCCAATGGGAACCGACTCAAGGGATATCACTGCAGGGTCTGACACCAGGGCGAGGATCTCATGTCTTCTTTATGCCCCAGGCAACACTGATGGCCTTGGAAGGCAAGCCAGCTGGGTGGGCTTTGCGCACTGGTTATGGTAGAAGCATTGATAGTTCATACAGAGGGTAGCAGCAGACATCATTACAAATTTATAACATGCACTTGAAGCCTCCACTAGCTTCATGATTGCTCAGCTGCCTTTGCATTCTCTGCCTGTGCCTGAATTATTGCTTTGCCCAACTCCAAGCACAGCTTTCCAGCTTTGCTTTCCACTTTGGTGACGGTGCCAGTCTCGTGGCGCTGAGATGCCAAGAATTTCAAGACTTTCGTGATTCCTTTGGAAACCAGCTCAAGAAGCTGCAAGGAGGATAAGGAATCAGACATTTGAAGGTGAGCACACCTACCTGTTCATCAAGAAATTCCATCTCCACTGAATCAATTCGGTTCTCTCTCTTAGCCAACCATTCAACCATTTGAGGTAAAGGTCTTGTATTCATGATCAGAAATGAGCTTGCCCACTCTTGATGAGACCTAGCAAAGCCCATGGATAATGAACTTGATGAGGAGGGACGTGAGGAGCTGTCACCCCTCTTCTGACTCCTCTTCTTCTTGCTGGATTTTCCCAGCTGCAGCATTTGTGCTGGTGTGGGTACCACCTGTGGCTCAGCAGACCCTTTCCCCTGGGGTCCCGATTCATTTATCTCCACAGTGACTGAAACTATATTACTTACTTTGGTAGGTGGAGGAGAAGTAGAAGGATGGGAAGATGGAGGCAGCTGTGGGGGTGGTGGTGATGGGGGAAGAGGAGACACTGGGTGAAGTGGGAGGAGAGAGGGAGAAGGGGAGGGAGGCACTTCATTGTCAGAAGCAGGTGAGCTGCCTGGGGAGGAAGCCAAGCAATGCTCCATTGCATCATCAGGTTTGAGATCAGGCTGATGTTATGAGTGTGAGAGAAAGCAGAAGGGAGTACTGACTTACTGAATCACTGTGACTGGAATCACTGGCACTGTGAGGTTTGGATCTTCCACCTCTATAAACTGATGACATTTGGCACATTCAATCATCAGCAGCAAATCATTTTACCCCCAAAGTGGTTTGTACCTTGTCTCCTACCCCCACTGCATTCTGGACTAAGGGATACAGGGACTGCAGATACACAAAGAGTCCTATGTCAAACTACACAAGCTGAACACTGATGCAACTAAATCTAACCCATATTAGCCTTGTCAGACTCTGCCTCTGAGCTTGATGTAGAGAGTTCCGCTATAGAGGAGATGAAATGTAAGGCCATGCAGGAGAGCAGGGTTGAACATTTCTTACCATCAGAAGGCAATGCTCTGGCACGCTTCTTCAGGCCATTCCTCATGGACCCTGGCCAAGCCTTTTTGATGCTTGTGATATGGCGGTGCTTTCTCTCTTACATTACATATGTTATTTAGTCAAGAGTGGTTTCCAGGGAAATATAGAATGAGCCACTTACTGGACATCCAAGGAAGTGGCACATCCAGTTCAGTCAGAGTGTTAGGCCCCTCTGGACTGCTTGGCATCTCCTTGCTAAACTCTTCTTCAATCCGCTCAAACTGCTCTTCTATGGTCCACCCCTCCACCTCATCTGGATCTGCCAGTTGCTGATCCGGGTCAGGGGAAGTCCTCCTAGGACGCTTCCCTTGAGACTTCTCGGTGGGAGACTCATCTAACTGCATCTCCTCAACTGGAGGGGGACGGCTGGTGTCAGCGCGGCGCCTACTGGACTCTTCCCCTGACGTGGAAGTGCTGGGGATTAAGGAGACATGGCTGGGGAGGTGCCGGATGCGACGTTTCGGGGGTAGCAGGCGACTGGAGGAGGCAGCTGGCAGGGGACGCCCTCGCTCACGGGACTCTTCCCCCGAGGTTGGGGTGCTGGGCTCCCTTGACGCTCTGGATTTCTTTCTCGAAAGGCGAGGAGGAAGAACCACATCACCACCAGGCAGCAGAGAGGGCGAGGAGTCTGGAGGAGAATCCCTACTCTTCTCAGGCTTGGTCCGCAAGGCAAGCAGTGTCGCAAGAAAGTCCTCATTGGGAAGCAGATCAGCACTCTGGGAAGCACTAGGAGGGGGAGCTGGTGCCACATCAGCAGCATGCTGGAGCCGTTGCTTGCCCTTGCGAGTCATGGTGGGTGGTGAACATCTTGAATGCTGCTTGTGCTGTATCCATTAGGCCCGGGCCGGAGCGCGCCCCAGGGTCTAGGGTTAGTGTCTATTAATAGACAGATTTGAGCGCCTTTTAATAAAGCGCTTGCGCGGCCTCTGGCCTAAAAATGTCTCTTGCTTCTTGCCCTCACGCCCTACAGTTCTCGAAGCACTCCTGGTGTTCCTGAGCAATTCTGGGAGTGCACGCCCTGCACTGCTCAGGTTTCCAGATATGTATGGGATCCTCCTGCCTGGTATAGGGAGTGCACGCCCTGTACCAGTCATGAGGACCTCTCCATTGTAGGTCCAAGCCTTCAATATCTCATTGCGTATGTGTTACGTTCACTATTCCACTGTTAGGATCAGGGGGTATAATTAGGGCCTACCCATATGGAACGGACGGTAGGCCCCCCTACCGTCGCGCGCCCAAAATACCGCCCCAGCGGCCGTTCTGACTATCTGGAAAGGGGCTTAGGCACCTCCCCTTCAACATTGAAACATCCACCGGGACCCCCCTCTATCTGTGCGGCCACCTGCGGGCGCTTCTGTGCCGACAGCCCATGGCTTACCTTCGACTGGCGACGGTTGGGGCTGAAATGCATCCCCTTGCTCCGCTCTTTGTGTGCACACCCTATTTCCACCCTCCTGATCCTGTTCACTTAGGCACCGCAGCCACCAGACCCGCTCGTTCAGCCTCCACCCATTTCCCCCCTGCCAGCACCGACATCGACGGTTGGGGCTGAAGGCGATCAAATCACACCGCAGTGGGATGTATTCCCCTATTTACGGCGCTCTGATTTCATCTCAGTAGGCACAAAACCCGTCAAGCTCTGCCCTTCATGCTCCAGCACATTTCAGCTCTGGCTGGGTGGGCGATGCACA